AAATATTATAATCAATTATTTTACAAAAATACTATAAATTAATAAAATTACAATTTAAATTAATTGTCTTCAGAAAATCTTTTGTACCAATAACCTTAGCCATGTCCATGCTTTGACACTCACACAGGGGACAATGTAGACTCACCATCATTTCAGTCACTCAAGGGATGATACAACAAAATGCCTTCCCAACTTCTTAGGACATTAACTCCACCATCAGGATTGAATAATGTGCAAGATAAGAAAAATTACTAATATACATGACAGCAGTTAGCTGCTTGAATTCAGCAGGGAGAGAAAGCGAGAAAGATTTGGAGTTTGCTTCTCAATCTGACTAGCAAACATTGCATGAGATGAGACACCATCTGTTTTGCCCCTGAATTATTTCCAGGTAGTACCGCCAAGTCTAATCACCTCTTCACTGCTAGTATCTCTCATGGGAATCCTCTCATTCGTATCCCCCTTCCGTTCACTTAAATCACCGTACAGGTCTTTAAGCTTTGCCAAGTTAATAGATGCGGGTGTCTTCTCCTTGCTCCCATCCCTCAGGTGACTTGAATCACGATCAAAGGGACCATTGCCAGTAGCTTGCACGCTTTGGCTCCTGCTCCTACGGCGGCTTCTTAGAGGGCTAGCTTCTCTATAATGCCTGTCCTCGTAGTCCCTTCTCTCTGCATATCTGGACCGCCTATCATGATCGTGCCTCTGCTCTCTATCTCTATCCCTATCCATCTCCCTGTCATAGAACCGGTTTCTATCTCGATCTCTTTGCCGGCTCCTGGTGCTATCACGGTCCCCACCCTGATTTCGCTCTTTATAATGATCACCTCCCCTGCCGTACTCACAATCCCCTTGATAATCATGATCTCGTTCTCCATCTCTGCAGTGATTGCGATCCCTATCCCAGTCAGAATATTTTCTATCAGAATATTCACGGCTCTGGCTGTGACAGCTGTTGGAACTTAAGTATTTTAATAAAAAATAAAATAATATATTTTATAAATTAAATTTATTGTCCCATTAAGAACTTGGTCAAACTAGCCGTTGTAGGTTAATTGTCCTATTTAAGGGCACATTATTTCATAATAATTACTCAATTTATTTCTACTATTAACCTACAAATGAGGGTTACAAGACCATGAGTCCTATAAATAGGACATTTCTTTTGCTCAAAATAGTTGTTCCTTCACATTCTCCTATTTTTCTTACCTTGCTTTATCCTCTAAATATTCTTGGGTGAAGAAGAGTGTTTTGAGTTAGGTGATTCTATGAATAGTGCAGATTCATAGAGTGTAATTATAAAGCTGTAGCATCCTGGGGGCGACATGCTTAATATATCTCTGCTGCATCGGTTGATCTACTCTCCGCAGAAGCGTGAATCGCCTTAAAGTAAGTAAGCTTTTCACACCTATTTTGATGATATTTTATTATCGATATTTCTTGATAAGTTCACTAATTATAATTTACTTGATTTTGTGACCGAGGCACAACATTGACGTGATGTGGAGATGGAGGAGAATGCTCGAGGAACAACAACAGCTGCTGGGAGATCCCCATAGGTCATCACTGCCAGGTGGTGGTACAGTGCGACGAACAGGAGAGGAGCCCCTGGTTGTTGCCCGATGAGGGGCACGCTGACCAAAAGAGACTGAAAGTGCAGCTTTCACAGAATGTGGTCGACGGGCAGTGTCATCAGATCCATGACGATTGGAATCCCCAATTGCACCAGAAGGTTTTGTAGGGAGCTTCATCTTTTCAAGATTAGATGCAACCTGCCGCACTACAGGAACAGGGACACGGGGGAAAAGAGTATCAAAGTAGTACTGCAACCACGAAAAAGGCAATGTCAAAAATGTTTAATCCAGGAAATTTTAACTAAGGGAAAATATTGCGAGGTAAACAATAAGGAATTTTGGAACTTTCATAACAATTAAAAAAATCCTAGTTCCCTAACTACAGCAACATATTTCATATAAACCTAGAGGTGAACTAGACAAATAAAGGAACTTGTAGAAGTAGGGAGTCCTAAGTAAATTAGTAGCATAAATTAAAATAGCAATTCTCTGTTAAGCATCGGACCCTATAAGGGGCAACTTCTATGCCGTGCTTCAAGGGTTCCAATCCAAGGCCAATGAAAGCAGCATGCACTGGGCCTGCATTATCACTACAAATCAGTGAAATGCATTGAAACATAGCAAAACTTCATAAGGAAAAGCAGATAGAGGAAGAAAGAGTACCTTATTACACGGGTAAAACATTGAAATAATACTGAACATATAATCACAGTTTCATAAAAAGGATGTGCTTGCTTCATAAACTTGGACCTGTATAGCTTAAGATCACCTTGGATGTTCCCTGTTATGATGTGCACTGCTACTTTTGAAATTTTATTTCTTAATAAGAATTTAGCCAAAACTTCTTATAGGCTTTGAAGCATCCTTAGCTAAAGCAATATAAGAGCAAAAAATAAATAAATAAAGATGGTCCCTGTTATGATGTGCACTGCTGCTTTTGAAATGTAATTTCTTAATAAGAATTTTGCCAAAACTTCTTATAGGCTTTGAAGCATCCTTAGCCAAAGCAATATAAGAGCAAAAAAATAAATAAATAAAGATGATCCCTGTTATGATCTGCACTGCTGCTCTGGAAATGTTATTTCTTAATAAAAATTTTGTAAAAATTTCTTATAGGCTCTGAAGCATCCTCAGCTTAAGCAATATAAGAGCAAAAGAAATAAAAAATAATCCCAACTGCCATACCGCTTAAG